GAATCCAACCTATTGACATTTCCAAGTTCAAGTTACAATGGCCTAATTTCTTCTCCTTTATTCTCTTTCACGGACACCCCCTTGTCGTGGGGAAAGAGTTTGCGTGCCCTTGTGAAGTTGGGAGCTATGCTGGTGGTGGCTTATGCTTCTGGTAGGGCGTCCTATGGCAGTCAGGTCTCAAATGAAGGGTCAGACAAAGCGCGTCCATGGGCAGGATGGGCTCACTAGCCTTCGGGCAACCATCCTAGGAGAAGGACAACTCCAACTTCAAACCCGGGCAGATGGAGCTCGTATAGCCCTGTAAGGCCATCCATCTAAGAGAAGAATACTCTAATCAAACCTTCGACCTGAGGACTTCGCTGTCACCGTCCAAGCTCGCTAGGCCCTGGCAGATAAACCTCAGGTGTAAAGGGTGAGGCCAGTTATGCGCACGCTGTGCCTCACCTAAAATAAATCCACTGCAAAGGCCCAAAGGGTTTACCCACACTTGCAAAGCCCTGTAGCGACAGGTGAGGGATGAAGCGGCAGGTGATAAGGCGCACTAGAAGTTGCAGACCCAACCCTGAATGCAGGCGGTTCAGGACATTGGTCGCTCAAGTCTAACCCAGGAGATGACAGTCTTGTTCGGCAGCATCCTGAATGACCAAGCAGCCTTTTTTCAAGGAGAGTACTGCTTGCTCCATATGGAGAGAGGCCTAGAAAAGGTGGCCTAACCAAAGCTCATCTCCCCCTCCACCTGGTTGGCTAGCCGCAGCCAAGGGGCATCTTCTGTTGTGGTCAATTAAAGACAAAGAGACAAAGGCATACACCTGCTTCCAAAGGTGTGTCCAGATTGACACTCGCATGTTGGAACATCAGAACCATGCTTGATACAGTGAACAGTGGGCGTCCTGAGCACTGTTCTGCACTAATTGCCCACAGATTGTCACAACTTAACATCGATATCGCTGCTCTCAGTGAAGTTCGCCTTCATGAGGAAGGTAGCCTCAAAGAACATGGTGCTGGCTATACCCTCTACTGGTCAGGCAAACCCAAAACTGAAAGTCATCTTTCTGGAGTCGGCTTCATGATTAAGAACTCCATCATCTCTAAACTTGAAAATTTGCCAACAGGTCATTCCGATCGTATTATCTCCTTATGTCTTCCACTACACAATAAGCAAAATGTTGTTCTTTTCAGCATAGATGCTCCAACTCTGCAAGCTGACCCTGCAGAAAAAGAAAAATTCTACTCTGACCTGCATCACCTCACTCAAAAGGTTCCTATAGAAAATAAGGAAGATAAGAAGATAAGTGTAGGGGAGAGGGACCTGGGGGTCCTGGTGGACGACAGGGTGACCATGAGCCGACACTGTGCCCTTGTGGCCAAGAAGGCCAATGGCATCCTGGGGTGTATTAGAAGGGAGGTGGTTAGTAGGTCGAGAGAGGTCCTCCTTCACTTCTACTCTGCCCTGGTGAGACCTCATCTGGAATACTGTGTCCAGTTCTGGGCCCCTCAGTTTAAAAAGGACAGGGACCTGCTGGAGAGAGTCCAGCGCAGGGCAACTAAGATGATTAAGGGAGTGGAGCATCTCCCTTATGAGGAAAGACTGAGGGAGCTGGGTCTCTATAGTTTGGAGAAGAGGAGATTGAGGGGTGACCTTATTAGTGTATATAAATATATAAAGGGGGAGTGTCACGAGGATGGAGCCAGGCTCTTCTCAGTGGCAAACAATGAAAGGACAAGGGGTAATGGGTACAAATTGGAACACAAGAGGTTCCACTTAAACCTGAGAAGAAACTTCTTCTCAGTGAGGGTGACGGAACACTGGAACAGGCTGCCCAGGGAGGTTGTGGAATCTCCTTCTTTGGAGACATTCAAGACCCGCCTGGACACGTTCCTGTGTAACCTTATCTAGGTGTTCCTGCTCCGGCAGGGGGATTGGACTAGATGATCTTTTGAGGTCCCTTCCAATCTCTAACATACTGTGATACTGTGATACTGTGATACTGTGATAAGATCATAATCCCTGGTGACTTCAACGCCCGAGTATGAAAGAACTTTGAAGCCTGGAAAGGAGTACTAGGCAAGCACGGTGTTGGCAGCTGCAATGATAACGGTCACCTCTTACTAGAGTTCTGTGCAGAGCAACAGCTTACCATCACCAACACTATCTTCCAGCAGAAAGACAGCTGGAAGACAACCTGGATGCATCCTCGATCTAAACATTGGCACCTTATTATGTTTTAGTGCGCAAGAGAAATATTCGTTAAGTCTGCTAGACCAGAGTGATGCCTAGTGCAGAATGCCAAACAGACCACCGACAAAGAGATAGACAACAGAATAGCAAAGGCATATAGAGCCTTCAGAAAATTCCATAAAAGAGTCTGGTGTAATAAACACCTGAAGAAAAGTACAAAGATCAGTGTCTATAGAGCCATTGTATTGTTTGCTGTTTTATACGGGTCTGAATCATGGGTCATCTACCGTCATCACCTGCGACTCCTCGAACGCTTTCATCAGCGCTGCCTCCGTACAATTCTAAACATCCATTGGACTGACTATGTGTCTAATGTCACTGTCCTCGAACAGGCAGGGGTCACAAGCATAAAGGCCATATTGCTGAAATTGCAGCTGTGCTGGGCAGGGCACGTCTCTAGGATGAAGGATCACCGCCTCCCCAAGATCGTGAACTTGCCACCGGTAGCCGCAAGAGAGTTGTCCCAAAGAAGAGATATAAGGACTCCCTGAAACGATACCTTAAGCCTTGGCCATATTGACTACCATCAGTGGTAGTGGAAAATTGATGACCCAGGCAATCACAGACCAGGCAGTCTCACCCCTGTGCCTGGCAAAAGCTTCAAGAAGATTCTCCTGGAAGGCATGCTAAGGCACATGAAAAACAACAAGGTGCTTGGTGACAGCCAGCATGGCTTCACTAAGGGGAAATCCTGCCTGACCAATTTGGTGGCCTTCTATGATGGGGCTACAGAACTGATGGACAGCGGTAAAGCAGTTGATGTCATCTACCTGGACTTGTGTAAAGCGTTCGACACTGTCCCACATGACATCCTTGTCTCTAAATTGGAGAGACATCAATTTGATGAATGGACCACTCGGTGGACAAAGAACTGGCTGGATGGCCGCACACAAAGAGTTGTGGTCAATGGCTCAATGTCCGGGTGGAGACCCGTTACGAGTGGTGTTCCTCAGGGATCAGTGTTGGGACCAGTCTTGTTTAACATCTTTGTCGCTGACATGGACAGTGGAATTGAGTGCGCCCTCAGCAAGTTTTCCGTTGACACCAAGCTGTGTGGCTCGGTTGGTATGCTGGAGGGAAGGAATGCCATCCAGAGGAACCTTGACACGCTTGTGAGGTGGGCTGATGCCAACCTCATGAAGTTTAACCATGACAAGTGCAAGGTCCTACACCTGGTTCAGAGCAATCCCAGGCACAGCTACAGGCTGGGCAAAGAAGAGATTCAGAGCAGCCCTGCGGAGAAGTACTTGGGGGTGTTGGTCGATGAGAAAATGAACATGAGCCGGCAGCGTGCGCTTCATGCCCAGAAAGCCAACCGTATCCTGGGCTGCATCAAAAGGAGTGTGACCAGCAGGTCGAAGGAGGTGATCCTGCCCCTTTATTCTGCTCTCGTGAGACCTCACTCCAAGTATTGTGTACAGTTCTGGTGTCCTCAACATAAAAAGGACATGGATCTCTTGGAACAAGTCCAGAGGAGGGCCACAAGAATGATCAGGGGACTGGAGCACCTCCCATATGAAGATCGGCTGAGAAAGTTGGGGCTGTTCAGCCTGGAGAAGAGAAGGCTGCATGGAGACCGCATAGCAGCCTTCAGTATCTGAATGGGGGCTATAAGGATGCTGGGGATGAACTATTCATTAAGGACTATAGTGATAGGACAAGGAGTAATGACTTCAATCTTAAACAGGGGAATTTTAGATTGGATATAAGGAGGAAATTCTTTCCTGTTAGAGTAGTGAGCCACTGGAATAGGTTGTCCAGGGAGGCTGTGAATGCTTCATCCCTGGCAGTGTTCAAGGCCGGGTTGGACAAGGCCTTGGGTAATATGGTTTAGAGCGAGGTGTCCCTGCCCATAGCAGGGGGGTTGGAACTTGATGATCTTAAGGTCCTTTCCAACCCTAAATATTCTATGATTCTATGACCCTGGCCTCCAATCGGGAGACTTGGAGGCACACCATACATAATGCCGTCAACTCCTTTGAGAGCTCACAAAAAACTAGTCTTGAGGAGAAAAGACAACGCAGAAAGAATCGCACCCCACCTGTACTACCCAAGGAGACCTTTTGCTGTGCTTTTTGTAGCCAGTTTTGCCTATCCCACATTGGCCTTCTTAGTTATCAGCGTGCTTGTAGTAAGCGTGGGTAAAGCCCTTCCCAAATCTTCGTTCGCGAAATCAAGCCATGATTCATCCAGGTAACATATCAGAAGCCATTAGCTGATGAACACATACACACACACAAAATAACAACAAACCAGACCTAAACATTTTTCCAGGCCCAACTCCCAATACAAAACGTAACAATATAAGGTCAGATTCAAAACATCCATGATGAGTAGCGTTTAACAATATGGGGGATTTTGACATTTAATTTGGTACCATTATTCTGTCTATATACATAAAAAAATGCACAGTATATTTGGAACTGTCTGAAAAGTTATATTATTATAGAGCCATAGTATCACAGAATAGTTAGTGTTGGAAAGGTCCTTAAGATCATCTAGTTCCAACCTCCCTGCCACAGGCAGGGACACCTCGCACTAAAACATGTCACCCAAGACTCAATCCAACCTGGCCTTGATGACTGCCAGGGATGAAGCATTCACAACTTCCTTGAGCAACTCATTCCAATGCCTCACCACCCTCACAATAACGAACTTCTTTTTTATATCCAGTCCAAACTTCCCCTGTTTAAGTTTGAACCCATTACCCCTTGTCCTACCACTCTCGTCTAAAAAAAGTATTTTATTTCTATTAACTCACCCAGCTCACAGGAGCACTGCATTACTGGAGTTCCAGCGCTTTTCAGACATTCACTGAGTTAAAGATAACTAAGCGTCCTGGAAATATTTTCATATTTCCTTCATGCCTGGGGGGGGACAGAAGAGAAAGCACGTTGCTGAGCAGGCAAGTGATGATATGAGGAATATGAAAGACAAAGAGCTAGCTAACATACTTTCTCTATTTTAATCTGTTTACTTGCCTTTGTTACTAGATCAGCAGGGCCTCAACATAAGTTAGTGTTGTTTTCTGGTTTTAATTCATTAACCTTTACAGCCAAACATCCCACAACAACAAGCCACCATTCCATAGACTTAATAAAAAATACATGGGATAATTCTGCCAAATCAGTTTTCTGACTTTTCTTAATGTATGTTACAAATGTCATCTTCACCATTTCTTAGACAGATGGATGTACAGGAACTTAGAGAAGCCAAGTTGCACACATATTCCTACTTCAATGGCTGTTACTCAACACATCTAACCCATATCCATTTTACTTCAAGATCGTCTATTTTTAACTGCCTACAAAGGTGTTCAATGCACTTGAAATTTCAGATTCTTTCAGTTTTTATGAAAGAGGGAAGAGAAGGGATATTTTCATTCAGAAAAATATTAACATTGTACCTCACAAACACTAGTGCAGTATGTAATACTTCCACTATGCTCTTGGAGCAGAGTTCCTTTCAAAAATCTTCGCTCCCATGATGAAAAACATTGTACGTACTTGGTATGTAACAATCCAGCCACTGACTTGAATGACTCAAGAATTATAACCACCCTTTTCTCATCTTCCTTATCCCAAGTATGGGGCTATACGTCAACCCTGCAATAAGACCATTTATTTGGAACTTTTACGTTGTGTCTATACTATCCATACCTCCAAATATGTATGTGCATGTGTGCATATTGCTACAATACATGGTTAAACCAGAGCACTATAACCATCACAGCTAAAGCTCTTAGAGGAACAGGGAACTTTTGGAGTGGGATTTTTGTTTAGAGAGCAGGTTAACTGACCTCATTTCTCATACAAAAAGTAGAGGAAAAACAGCCTTAGAATTTTATGTATATCTATCAACAAAGCTATAACCACCTTCATGAAACACATTCTGTCAAATTGGCTTCCTTTGAAGTAATCACTATTCTGAAAACACTGCACTGGGATCCAGCAGTGTGAAACTATAGAGCGATGTTGAAGTAAGTTTTATGCCCGAGTATTGATGTACATTAAGGAACCATCTGGCTGTCTTTGGAGTGTGTGGAAAGAAGCAGGTTAAGCTATTGGACAGAAACATCAATGCAGTATGCTGGAATGGTTTGAAGCTAAAAGCATTTGGTAATGTAACCACTTGATATTCAGGAGACTGAGCTCACATATAGGTGGAACAGAATAAAACAAATATGAATCAAGCTGTTAAGCTTTGAATTTGTTCCCCTTATGGTAGAACAATATCGAAACTTTCTAGTGGCAATTATAAATGTTTATCCTGAAACATATTATTTAGTATTTCAAACACCTATTTTTAAAACATTTGGACAATTAAACTACACCAGATTCCTGCAATGCCAGTTGTTTTAGCAACAATTAGATCTCATAGACAACACTGCCAGGGGGATGCACTCGGAAACCAGAGGTACAAGATCCTATGATGCCCAGTACTACTAGATGTTTCCAAAGATGACTTAGAAAGATGCATAGTGGTTTATAGTGGAAATTTAAGGTAAGTATACTGTAATATTTTAAGAAGCAGAAGTCTGAATATAAGCATCTCTAAACACGCTAAAGCAGCAGGTTTGCCGATGACACCAAGCTGCGTGGTTCAGTTGATATGCTGGAGGGAAGGAATGCCATCCAGAGGGACCTTGCCACGCTTGTGAGGTGGGCTGATGCCAGCCTCATGAAGTTTGACCATGCCAAGTGCAAGGTCCTACACCTGGTTCAGAGCAATCCCAGGCACAGCTACAGGCTGGGCAAAGAAGAGATTCAGAGCAGCCCTGCGGAGAAGGACTTGGGGGTGTTGGTTGATGAGAAAATGAGCATGAGCCAGCTTCAGTGTGCACTTGCAGCCCAGAAAGCCAACCGTATCCTGGGCTGCATCAAAAGGAGTGTGACCAGCAGGTCGAAGGAGGTGATCCTGCCCCTCTACTCTGCTCTCGTGAGACCTCACTTGGAGTATTGTGTACAGTTCTGGTGTCCTCAACATAAAAAGGACATGGATCTGTTGGAAGAAGTCCAGAGAAGGGCCACGAGGATGATCAGGGGACTGGAGCACCTCCCGTATGAAGACAGGCTAAGAAAGTTGGGGCTGTTCAGCCTGGAGAAGAGAAGTCTGCATGAAGACCTCATAGCAGCCTTCCAGTATCTGAAGGGGGCCTACAGGGATGCTGGGGATGGACTCTTCATTAGAGACTGTAGTGATAGAACAAGGGGTAATGGGTTAAAACTTAAACAGGGGAAGTTTAGATTGGATATAAGGAGGAAATTCATTCCTGTTAGGGTGGTGAGCCACTGGAATAGGTTGCTCAGGGAGGCTGGGAAAGCTCCATCCCTGGCAGTGTTCGAGGTCAGGTTGGATGAGGCCTTGGGTGATATGGTTTAGAGTGAGGTGTCCCTGCCCATGGCAAGGGGGTTGGAACTAGATGATCTTAAGGTCCTTTCCAACCCTAACTATTCTATGATTCTATGATTCTAAGTTTTCTTTAGCATGCAACACTTGCATATATCATGGTGCTTCAACAGATTTCCTTACAGTATAGACAGGTGGGCACAACTCAGTTAAAAAATGAAATGAAAAACTGAGCTCTTATAGCCTTCCTTTCCCAAGACAGACTGGTATATATCACTCATATGTTGAACCAACTACTGCAATTAGACATTTCCATTGTCTCTGTGGTCCTCAGTGTACCTTTATATCCTCATAGAAGACTCTTTATTACAAGATCCCATAAGGCAGTTCTTTTTTGCTACATACTCAATTTTTTCTAATACTTGTCTTTTTATTTATTTATTTCTTCTGTAACTTTTTGAAAGCATGTTCATGGTTCCTATTTGGAAAGTACCAGCATATAGTTGATGCAGCCAATTCTCTTTGTTTCTCCACTCCTCCAGCCTAAAACTATTTATCTAAATGTCTTTCCTAGAAAAAGCAGTAAGTATACCTGATTATTGTGTGAACTCACCTAGAATTTTTATGGAAATTGTACTTGCTGCCTTTTTGATTAATCAAGAAAAATCACTTACCATCTTCTCCTTCGCCCTCAACTACTGTGACAGAAGGCAATGGTCATGTTCTGTTCACTCAGTTAAGGACATTGCTTGAAAGACACACACTGAGATGTCTACAGACACTCATTGAAACATGCCTTCTTTATATACAGGCAAAATCAGAAACTGCAGAGTTATCCTTCATCTTAAATAGGTTTGAAGATGAACAGATACAGAACTTTAACACATGCTCTCAGTATCCTCATCCACAGTTTCCACAGCAGCTATTATTCCCTCACCCACCAGCTAAGATGGGGTGGGATAAAATATTACATGCGTAGGTGGAGTAATGTAAGATTTCTTCTTTTCTAACCATTATGAAGCAAATATCTTAGGACTTACTCTTGTTGTCTTTGCTAGCACAGCAGTGCGATTTTCCAGAATTCAGGGCCAACAGATTCTATTTGCTTTTAGTAAGCAGATTCAGTTAAATATTTTCCCCAGTCTTATGCATTAGCATGCTATGATAGGAGAACCTTCAAAACCAGCATAATATTAATTTTGTAGCAGAAACAAAGCCTTTTCATAGGACTACAGACTGGGTTTTTTAGGTAAACAATTGGCTGCAGATGTCTTATCCCCTCAGGGTACCACAGACATGTCAGAAAATGCTTGTAGTCTGATGTAATTTAAACATCTAGGAGAAGCTCCCCAAAACTTTTTGGTTTGCCATATCTTTGGGCATTTTCTTGACTTGGTATTGTCTATTAACAACACTCAAATATTTACTAGACAGCAGCTTACACTGAACATTATTTCCTCACACTTTATTTGGTACCTCATTGCCAATGAGTAAAACTAATACTCATTAAGTAAACTAGGACAGTACGGAGTTTTCTTAAATTATAAAATAGCTCCCAATACTTCAGTATATTTTGAGGTCTCCTACTGAGCAGGGTATTCAATAAAAAAACATATGCATACACAGATGTAGTGTTTTAAACCCAGCCCATAACTCACAACCATGCAGCTGCTCACTCACTCCTCCTCTTATTGCCCCCAGACTCATGGAGGAATGGGGAGGAGAATAAAAAAAAAAAACATAAACCCCATGGGTTGAGATAAGAACACTCCAATAACTAAAGAATAATACAAAACTACTACTAGTAGTAATAATGATAAGGGAAATAACAAGGGGAAGGAATATGAACTAAAAGGCGAAAGGGAAAAAAAAATAAACACAAGTGATGCACAATACAATTGCTCACCACCTGCTGACCGATACCCAGCCCAACCCAAACAGTGATCTGGGTCTTCCAGGTGACCTACCCCAGTTTATATACTGGGCATGATGTGCTGTGGTATAGAATACCCCTTTGGCTAGTTTGGCTCAGGTGTCCTGTCTCTGATTCCTCCTGGCTTCTTGTGCCCCTCCTCACTTGCAGAGTATGAGAGACTAAAAAGTCCTTGAACGGGGTAAGCACTACTTAGCAACAACTAAAACATTGGTGTGTTATAAGCGCTGTTCTCAGACTAAAGTCAAAAACATAGCACTGCACTGGCTACTAAGAAGGAGAAAAACAACTGCTACAGCTGAACCCAGGAGAACAGATTAAGTTGGTGTGACACAGAAACATTTCAGTAACTCATAAATACCCCAGTGAATAAACATGCATGTCTTAAAAAAATGTTTAACACTGCATTATTACCCTAAGATAACTACTGTATTACAGAAATCAGAGTCTTCAGAGCGTTCACATGACAAATACACTGAGAGGCCTCTGATACCATAGGAAGTGATCAGTTTCTCTAATGTTTAGCACAGCAAGGACTACAAACTTCTGTACTTGTGCTCAAAGTTAATTTGCTGTAGAACTGGA